CATGTCCTCATCTGTAAACTGGATCTTACCTCCTAAGGCTGCAGTGGCGGTTAAACGAGATAATACTTATAAAGCTCTGGGAACTGTGTCTGGCACATACGAGGTGCTCAGTAAACAGCCACTCGTTTCGGCCCATTCGTCTTGCTTCCCCTACGATCCAATTATGCTCATGAATCTGAGAACCAGTCTGTCCAGTTCCGTGGAAACTACCGTGGAGATCTGAACTGTGCAGAAACTCAAGGTTCATCTGGGAGAGAACTCGTGGAACCGTGAGTCGCCCTGGGTACCACGGCCGCCCAGCTCACCGCTTGCCCGGCATCGTCTTTTATGTCTCTCAATAAGATGTTCCCACGTTTCCTCCAGGTTTCCCTGAGGTTTATTCCCGGTACTTTGTAGTTAGGTCTTTGCAGCTGATGTGGCTTTGCTGATGTGTGAGTTATCTTTGCTGCATAATGCATTACCTTTCAGCTTAGTGGCTTCAAACATTTGCTATCTCCCAGTTCCTGTGGGTCGGGAATCTAGAGGTGCCCAGCTGGTGTCTCTGCTTCAGGGTTTCCCACAGGCTACGACCGAGGCGTCAGCCGGGCTGGAGTGTCATCTGAAGGCCCGACGGGGGAAGGGCTCCTTCCAAGCTCGTGTGGTCTCTGGCAAGGCTCGGGTCCTGGCTGGCTGTCGGCCTTGCCGTGCGAGCCTTTCTGTGTGGGGGCCCCCACATGCCTCCCAGGCCGGCCTTTTCCATTCATCTTTTAAAAATGTATTTTAAATGAATCCTTAATTTCCTAAGTAATACCTGAATATATTCACCCTGTAAAGACTGCAGCTAAGGCTCAACTCTGCTTCATCCTGCCTTCCTGTTCCCTGCTGCCAAAGCCTCTCCCTTCGTCATGCGGGAGAGGACACTTCCAGTCCTTCTTTCTCATCCTTACAATCATACACGTGACCCGGAAAGAAACCACACACACACACACACACGCGCGCGCGCCACGGAATATTTCCTGCCGTTCTTCTGCATCTTTCACTTTCATCTAACAATGTGACCTGGAGACGATTTCATTCTCTAAGAGCCACATGGTATTCCACGGCGGGGATGCTCCCTGTGGGTGCCGCCTCACAGGTGGCTCCAAATGTCCCACCTCCTGGTATTCAAGCCCGTGTGTGACTGTGGGCTAAACTCAGTGACCGGCTTCTAACAAACAGAATAAGGCAGAGGGTAGGGGTGTGGCCTGGAGGTTAGTCACAAAAGGCAGGGGTCGAGAGGGCCACGTGGAGAGGAACTGGGGCCTCCCGCCACCGGCCACGTGAGGGGACCAACTGGAAGCGGCTCCTCCAGCGGGGCCTTCAGATGAGGCAGCCCTGGCTGACGTCTTCACTGTGACCTCACGAGACCCTGAGCCGGAACCACCCAGCTATGCCACTCCTAGATTCCTGATCCACAGAAGCTATATGAGATGATGGATGTGTATTATTTTAATTTGCTAAACTTGGTGGGGAGATTCATTATGCAGCAATAGCTGACAGATACACTCTGAGTGTTACTCGGCCTATTTCCCCTGAACGAATGCCTACACCACAGCCGGGCTCAGCCGTGCCCAGCACACCCCTGTTCACTCTACGGAGACACTCAGGAAGAATCGCTGTATTTTAAGGGTGTGCGTTCCAAATCTTTAACAATTTTGAGTTAAACTTAAAAGCTTAAATTGGGCTATTACAAATAATGACTTGAATTACAAACTGACATTTGAATTTCAGGGACTATGCAGCCCAGGTGAGTGAGATGGTGCAGCGGTTAAGAGACCAGCCTGAGGGCCCGGATCCAGCTCCTGCTGTGCAGCCACAGGCAGGTCACTTAACCTCTCTGGGCCCCAATCTACTAAATCATAAAGTCGGGCTATTAATAGAACATACTCACAGGTGGTAGCAGCCTAGACCAGTGGCAGAACTTTCTGTAGTAACGGACATATGGCTATTGAGCCCTTCAAGTATGGCTTAGTGTGACTGAGAAAGTGAATTTACAGTGATTAAAATCTATTTAACTTTAAATAGCCACACATACCTAGTGGCTACCGTATTGGATCACACAGGCTTGAAACGACGCTTGGCAGATAGTAGGTGCTCAGCAAACACTCGGTAGGAATATTATCCTGTCCAATCATCCTCCAGAGTACCGAGTCACACCTCATCAAAACGAAGATCACCCCAGGTACCCTTCTAGCACCCCAGTCTGGTCATGTCCCTCCCCTGCTTAAAGCCTGCCTGAGGGTCTCCATTGCCCTAAGATAATGTCCCGGATTTGCTAGTTTCATCGTGGTCACAACTTCTAGCACACTCTAGAATTACTTTTCCTTGTGGAGATGGGTAGTTCCTTTTCCGCCCCCCGCCAACTTTCTCCTCGACTGAGGCCTTGGGAGGGCAGGGACAAAATCTGGCACACAGTAGGCGCTTCATCATGAAAGGACCTCCATAATCCAGCCCCTATAGTCTCTGCATCTGTTCCTTTGCCTGGTGCTGCAGCCTCGGCCAACTGTCCAATCACCATGACGTCTCAAGCCTCTGAGCCTTTACCCAGGCTGTTCCTCCCACACAGAAAACTATTCCAGGCAGACTCGGGCTCATCTTTCCAGCTCGTACCCCACCTGGGCCTTGTTCTCCCGTGACAGAGCGAGGTACTTCATTTCTGAGCCTCAGCCTCCTAAACCCTAAAATGGGATGAATTATCGATAAAAGACACAGCTCTGCAAAGCATCCAGCAAGACACTACGTAGCTAATTAAACAGAGCAGTTAGTATGAGTCCCATCAGTTTCAAGTACCATCTCTTAACACCCCCCAGGCCTTGCCCAGGCCCCCCCGCAGAGCCCCATATACCCCACTCCAGGTCTCAGGTGGGGAACTTTGAGGCCTCCACGGGAGTGGGGGCAGGAGCCAAAGCCACATCATCTCTCTGGTCTCACCTCCTCAGGGCACTTCTGGGTCCTCGGCCACGTCAGGTCCAGCTGGGGACTTTCTGCCCCAACATTCCAATTCAAAATCTATTGTAACAGTGCCGGCAAGGACGCGGAGAAACTGGAACCCTTGTGCACTGCTGGTGGGAACGTAAAATGGGGCGGTTGTCATGGAAAACGGCGGAGTGGCTCCTCAGAGAGCTACACACGGAATTACCACCCGCCCCGCAATTCCGCTCCCGGGTACGGCCCAAGGGCACTGCAGCAGGTGTCCAAACAAAACGTGTTCACGAATATTTACGGTGGCACTATTTACAATGGCCCGAAGAGGACAGCAACCCAAACGTCCACGGACGGATGAACGGATACATACGACGTGGCCCGTCCACATGGGGGAGTGTCACTCGGCCGTGAAAAGCGGGGAGGCGCTGACACTTGCTACGCAGACGGACCCTGAAACCACGACGCTTAGTGAGAGATGCCGGACACACTAGGCCACACGTGTGTGATTCCATGTATGTGTCATGTCCAGAACAGGCACATCCAGACAGGAAGTGGGTGAGTGGTAGCCAGGGGCTTGGGGAGGGGGATGGGAGTGACTGCCAAAGGGGATGAGGTTGTTTTTGGGGTGATGGAATGATCTGGAATTAGAGGTGATGGCTGCAAAACCATGTAAATGTACTTAATGCCACTAGATTGCACACTTTAAAATGGTAAAAATGGTGACTTTTATGATATGTGAATTTTACTTGTTTTTAAAAATGTGTACTGTGTAGTGTCTCATCTCCCAGGCCGCCTCCGTGAGGGCAGGAACCAGAGCTGTCTGGTTACTGCCGTGTCCGTGGTGGCCAACAGAGGAACAGGTGTGCAGCAGGTGCTCAAGGAATGTTTGTTGACTGACTGAATAAATGAACGTGGGAATCCAGAAACACGGGCACCGGCCTTTCCTGAGGAAGGCAAGCCCGACGTTCCCACAGCCGAGATTTCATCTGCTTCATCCAGAGGGTGAAGAAACCTTGGAACACCCGCTCCCACACGCCCTGACTCCAAATCTGGATCTCTGTCTAGGTTGGGCATGCAATGGGTCCAGACACACTCGGTCTTCATTGACGTGACAGGGCAAATAAGGAAGCGCTCAATCCTTTAGCAAGTAAAACTTTTATTAAATAAACTTTCGGTTTCTCCAGACCAAAGAGAGGCGTTTTGGACATAAAGATGACGCTTGCAGCTTCTCACCTGAAACACGCCACAGTGACAAGAACCTCTCCAGCCACGAAATTCAAACCAAGTCAACTCAAAGCTTCTTCTAAGTCCTTTTCTTGTCTTCCTCTCGTGTGTGTGTGTGTGTGTGTGTGTGTGTGTGTGTGTGTGTGTGTGTGGTTTGTTTCCAAAAGTCAGTTTGCAAGTTGAAACTTCATGAAATTACTCGTAGCAGAAATAAAGTACATTGTACAAATCACGTAGATCTTCGATGTGGAGTATAAAAATGGTATTTACAGCCAGTAAACATGGACCAGAAGGACACACGCCACTGCACGCCAGGCCTGGCGGGAGCTTGGCGGGCGCCGGGGACACGAACGAGGCCCCCTCTCGGCCCCTGAGCACACGCTTGCACACGCAGACGCACAGGACACAGGCACGCTAGAGAGTGTCTCGGAACTATTATCAAACTCTGGAATATCGAAACGAGTTGGTCAGAAGATTTTTTTTCCTTTTCCTTTTTTTTTTTTTTTTTTTTTTTTTTTCTTCTTTTTTTTTTTTTCTGGGTCTGTCAACACATTTTGGTAGAAACAAAAGAGAATTTTTTTTTTTTTTTTTCCTTAAAAATTTTTTTTCTTGAGCTTATTAAGTTCTCTGGTGCCTCATCTGGCGAGAGGCCCCCCTGGACGTCCAAACGAACTTGACTCTGTGCTTCAAGGTGGGTTTTCACGGTTTGGGTAGCTGTACAGAGGCACCCCAAGATCTCCCTCCCCGCCCCCGCTAGAAAACAAAAATCCATTGTCGTTTGATTCCCTCCCCTCTTTTTTCCCCCCCTTCTTTTTTCTTCTTTGTACCTGCTCAGAAAGACCAAAATTTAAAAAAAAAAAAAAAAATTCTTTGAAGAGGTATCTTCGGCAAAGGGGCGCTTGGCCAGTGCCGGTCGGGCTGGTCCGACGAGCGCAGAGACCTTGGTCGTGAGATCGTGAGATCGTGAGCTCCAGGCTGGTGATCCGAAGGCAGGGACGGCGGGCTGCCTGCCCTTGGGAGGGCGCGTGGGGGTTGGGGTCCCCCCAACCCTGTCTGCCCCCCGACGGAAAAGCTAAGGGCTATTGGCCACATGAGTAAGGCTATGACTCGGGGGGCGGGCGGGGGAGGCCAGGGGTCTCTTCTGCGCCGGGAAGGCAGGGCCCTGGGACGAGGGAGAGGGCGGGGGTTCCGGAAGTCGCAGCCGGGACCAGGGACGCTCAGCCGGAGGAGCCCACGGGCCCGCGAGAACCGGGGCCAAAGTCCTGGCGGTGTGCAGGTTGGCCCACGACTCCTGGGGTCCCGCACCCTGGTCTGACGCGGCAGCCGGAGGTGGGGAGACGCCGGGTGCCCGGCCGGCCTCAGCCCTTCGTGTGTCCCTGCTGAGTGACCCGCCCAGGGATGGAAGGAAGTCAGAAAAGTTTGGTCCCATGATCTATACTCAAAAAATATATATACCGTCTATAGCTCTATATATATATGCATATATATATATAGGAAAAGTTGTGATTTCGTTTGGGGAAGCCACCAAGGTGGCGTGTGGCAGGAAGCGAGGAAATCCCCCAGGAGGGGCTGGTGGACCCCTGGGCCCCCACCTCAGGAGCTCCCCCCTCCCCGCCCCCTTGGGCAGCAGTTCACATTTTGGGGGGGCAAGGGGAGATGGGAGAGGGAGGGAGGGCTGGTGTCCGAGCTCGGTTGGAATTTACGAAAATCTCCTGGACCAGATGAAGCGGGAAACCCTCCTGGGGTGGGACGCCCCTCACCTGGCGGAGAAGGAGGCGCGTTAGGGAGCGCGGAGCGGGCACCCGGCAGCCGGCCTCATCCCGCCCCCCCTTGCCCCGGGCCGGGCTGGGGTCTGGGGCCCCAAGCCCCTAATCTTTTCAGAGTCAGTTTGGGAGTCTGGAGGCCGACAAACCCAGCTTGGAACAGATTTAGGGTCGCAAAGCCCGTGTCCTTATCTGGCGACTGGGGACAAATACTCCTTTCGTGTCACTCTCCCCCGCTGCCTGCCACAGAAGTCCCAAGAAGGCAGTTTTTCCCTCTGCCCGCCCCCCGTTTCTGTTCATTCGCGGCTGTGTCCCCAAGTGCCGTAAACAGTGGCTAGCGCATAGTAGGTGCTCAGGAAGGAGGTGCTGTCCCAGCATGTTAAAAGCGTGCAGATCGCCTGTGAGTTGGTTTGCAGGTGGCGGGCTCCCAAACCCGGCTGCGGGGTGCAGGACTGTGACTGTACACCCCCAAACCTGGGGGTGCCGGCCCCTAACTGAGCACCTGCTTTGCGCCAGGCGCCAGACGACAGCAATGACGATTTAAAAAGTTAAAAAAACGAAAGGCATTATCAAGAGCTTTCTAGGTGGCGGGTCCAGGGCTCAGCTGGGAAAACATCGCGTCCCCCGCGTGAGTCCCCCCTGCTGCCTCCCAGGGAGGTGACTTCTACGAGCCCATTTCACAGATGAAGCTCGTGGAGACTTGAGGTCAGTGGTCTCCTCACTGGCCCTTTGGGCTCATTCTTCATTCCCCAAAGAAGGCGATTAGTTGCTGATAAAGTCGGTCGCTCTGATGGCAAAACACACTCTTGGGGATTTGTGTGTTTGGGGGATTTTTTTCTGGCATGCCGGTGGGCGGGGCAAAATCTCACTTTCCCACCAGCTCTTGGGCGTGAATCACACTAAATAAGGAGCTATGGGAGGGGCCCAGCGGGAAGAGGCCTGGACAGGACAGAAGCCCCGCCCACCACGCGCCCCGCCCCCGGCCGAAACCCGCCCCCCGGGCGCTTCTGGTCAAGCCGCCAAGCCTCCCTTCCCCGCCCCCCAAAAAAACTGCCAACCGCCCCCCCGGCTTCCCCAGCCTCCTTGCCCCAATCCCTCCCTCCCGTCCGCGGCGGTGACTGGGCTGTCTTCATCCAGCTCTGTCCCCACCACTCCAACCTGGGGTCTCCTTGTGGCTTCTCGCAGCACCCCCTAGCCTGGGGAAGGTTTGCAGGATGGGGAGGGGTGCGGACAAGACAGGGCGCGTGGGGCCGCCTGGCGGCTCACCTGGGCCAAGCCCGCAGCCGGGGGCGGCTGTGGGCGTCAGTAGGGGTGTCCCGGGTCTCGGGGCCGCTTCAGCTGCACCTTCAGCCTCTTCATGCCGATCTGAAAGCCGTTCATGGCCTGGATGGCGGTCTGCGCGCTGGCCGGGTTGTCAAAGCTCACGAAGCCTGCGGAGACCGGGGTGGACCCGCCATGGTGGGCGCCGTGGGCGTCCTCTCGGCTCGCTCCAGTGCTGCGGCCCTGGCTCCCGGCGCACGGGGTCCTGGGGGTGGGGGGGTGCGCTCGCAGGGCCAGACGGGAGACGGGCTGGGGGAGGTGGCAGGGCTTGCCAGAGGACACGCAGCAGCCCCGGCCTGGTCTGACACCCCTGGACTTGCATGCCTCTGGGGGTGGGGCGCTCACTCCTTACCTGGGGTCTGCTCTGCTGAGGCTTCCCATCCAGAGTGGGGGACAGGTAGGCCTTCTGGGGGTCCTGGGAGGGCCACGTTCTCCCTCCCTCTCCCCAGGACGTCAGCCTCCTGAGACCTCTATCCATCTGGGGTCTTAGCTGTCCCTCTGTCCCTCTGTCCCTCTGCCTGTGTGTGTGTGTGTGTGTGTGTCTTTGTCTCTTCTCTCTCTCTGTCTCTCTTTCTCTACCTCTTCTCTCTCTCGCCTTCTCACCTTCCCTCCCTCTCTCTTCTATCCGTTTCTCTTCCCCCAGTCTTCCCTAAGACCATCAGAAACACTTAAGCTTCCCCCTCCTTAAACTGCCACCAGCCCAAACTCCCTCCACCTGCCACCTGGAGCGCACCTGGCCCTCCCCCTCCCCCTCCCCTCTTGGTCCTCACAGGCTTCACAGGGCAGGTGTGGAGGCCATAAGGGCCAGGGGTCCTCCAGGGGGAGGGGACCACATGTGCAATCATTTGGAGGTGGGGACACCAGGCCTCTGTGTGAGAGGCCAAGTGGGGGGTCAGGGTTGAGGAGTCTTGCGGAGGCCCATGGGGAGCTATGGGGGAATTCAGAGCTATTATCTCCTCCCCCCATTATAAAGATGAGCAAACTGAGAGGCTCAGAGAAGGCATGTGACCCCCGATTGTTGGAAGTGATTGGGTAGGCTTTCCGCCAGAAATTTTCTCTTCCTCCTGGGGCCAGGATACAGAACAAGGGGCCTAGGCACTGCTGGGGTCCCTTACTTGCTGTGTGACCTCTAGTGCGTCACTTGACCACCCTATGTCTCTCTTTCCTCCCTCAGTAAATTGGGACAATCCTTGCCTTTTTATGGTTGGATACTAAGTAATACAGGAAACAAAAAATAGTCGAGTTGGGTAGGGAGGGGTTGACAGTCCAGATTTTGGAATCAAACAGACTGGTTCTAATCCAGGTTCAGCCCCTCTGCTGCTGTGTGACTTTGAACAGGTGGCACTGCCTCTCTGAGCCCTAATTTCCTGTTTCTAGGGACAAGGAAGTCCATGTCGTGGCCCACGAGGCCCTGCACGACCTGCCCCCCTCCCCTCCCTGCCCTTGCCTCCTCCCTCTGCCCCTCACTCTGTTCCACCCACACGACCTCCTCATCACTGTTCCTGCAATGCACACAGTCCAGCCCCAGGCCCTTTGTACATGCCGTTCCCGCCGCCTGGAACACTCATCCCCCGGGTTTCCCCACACTGGCTCCTCATCGGTCACGCCTGCTTTTCTTCATACCATCTATAGTTCCCTGGTCTGAATCTGACATTTGTTTATTTCCATCTCCTCCCCCTAAACCTGTGCTTTCCGATTCCGATGCCACTGGCTATGGTGCTTATTTAAATTCATTGAAAATTAAATACAAATTAAAATTCAGGCCTTCGGTCTCACTGGGCACATTTCAAGTGGGGCCGATGGCTCGGAGCCCGGATGTGGAGCACCTCCATCATCTGTCGGGCGGTATGGTAAGACCTTTCTGAGGGCAGGAGTTTGTCGGCTTCCTTCACAGCTCTGTGCCCGGCACACAGCAGGGGCGCACTATATCTCTTTGTTGAATGAATGAATGAATGAATGAATGAGCTTTAGAAAGAATGTGTGGCAAGTGCCTGGCACACAGTAGATGCTTAATAAGTGCTCAGTCTGATTATGAATATGATTCTATTTTTTTTTTTAAATGTGATTCTTTGGACCAGGCCTGTCTCATGGCTGACCACCCCCTCTCGTCCTCCCCATTCCAGGCCTAGGGGCGTGGGTGGGACGGGGGGGGCAGCAGGAAGGGCGCCCACAGCAGGTACTCACCAAAACACTTGCTCTGGTTGGTGGCCCGATCCATAAACACCTTGGAGGAGATGATATTGCCGAAGGGGAGGAACATCTGCGTCAGCTCCGTGTCTCCAAACTCCTGGGGGAGGTGGTAGATAAACAGGTTACAGCCTTCGGGACCTGCAGGTGGGGGAGAGAAAGAGGTAAAGCCCCCAAGGAGGGGAGGTGGACCCCCCCGGGGGGAGGGGCGTGGGTCCAGAGCCCACATCTGGCTTCTCCAGCTGTCAGGAGAGGGGTGCCCCATGACACCCAGAAAGGAGTATGGAAATGGGGTGGGGGGTGGGCACACAGACACTTCCAAACATCTGACGATCCTCAGGCCCCAAATAATTTATGAAATTCAAATGATTCCTGCCTCTCCCCGCAAACAAAGATAAATCCCAAGCAACCCCACACTCCTGGAAAATCCCTAAGCTTCAAACTCCAGATCATTTACATAAATCAGGCAAACTGGGTGTGAGGTATATGGGAGCTCTGATCTATCCTTGCAATAATTCTGTAAGTCTAAAACGGCTTCTAAATTAAAATGTCCGTTGTTTTTTAAAGTCCGACGCTCATAGAACAAAACAACAAATAATTCTCTGGTTCCAAACCCCAAATATCCAGATATATTTTCCAAAAACCTTGGATAATTCTAACTTTAGATAATTTCCAAAACTCAGATGATGCAAAAATAAAATCAAGTAAAATAAAAAGAATTCTCCAGTCACGAACCCCAGATATCCTGAAACCACGGATAATTTTTAAATGGTAGAATATACCAAGAAATTAAAAAAAAAAACAAAAAAAACACAGATAATCCTTGAAATCATCCCCTCCTTATATAATCTCCAGTGCATGGCTCATATACAAAGTATAAATGATAATCATTTAAAAACCTTGATTACCTGAAGCTATGAAAATTCCCAAATCTTCTCCCACGCTCCCTAAAGCGAAAGTCACCGTCCAACCACCCAGAACTCCCCCCACCCTCGCCATGAGAATTCCCCACCTGAGAAAATGCAAAATTCAAGATCACACAACTATACCCACCCGGTAACTTCCTTATTAGAACCTCAGTTCTACTTCCCACCTGCAGGTCCCGAAGGCTTGTTTTTAAAATGCAAGTTGTGTTCCAACGTGATCGATATGTTACGGAACAATTTTGAGCGTAACGCAAATTTTGTGTTTGCTGGTGGGCTGTCTCATCTCCAAGAAGCACGAGGTGAATGCGGAAAACCGCACCCGGCCGAAGCAAGCTTCGTAAAACAAAACGCGCAAGCGCAAGCACACAGACACCTACCGACCTCCTCCGTTTCCCAAGTGTGTTAGGAGCCACACCTGTCCCCATCTGACTTCAGACGACCTCTTTCCACTATTTCACAGTAACTCACATGCTGCAACCCTTCCGATGAAACTTCCACATGCAAATTTCAGGTCTCCTCCATGATAAAATGCCGTATTTTTTGTAGTATCCATGTTATTTCTTAGTCATCTAACATTCATAAAACTGTGCTGCCGTTTTTATTAGGATCCTACCTTTTTTTTTTTTTTTGACTTGTTTGTGGGCTTCCTTTGCCTTGGGGTGATCTGGGGCTTTTCTGGTTGGTCACCTCTCCCCAGCCCCCCAGTCCCATCCCCACTAGATGGATTAAAGAGAGGAAGAGACTCCCTAGTGCTGGGCGCCCACTGTGTATCAGGAACAGCCACTGCTTATTTTCCAGTAACACCTGTTGGCACGGATGGTCGCCCGTGTTGCAGACCAGGAAACTGAGGCACGAGGTAGTGAGGTGCCTTCCTCATGTCACAAGTCAGAACTGGGTGGACCTGAACCCCGGTTGTCCGACTCCAGAGTCGAACTCCTCCCTCCCTCGCCTTCACTGGGGAGGCCTCAGTTTACCGGAAATTCCTCATCACTCCGCCCGCAACCTCAAAACGAGTGTCCTCTCCAAAAATTTAGAGAAATCATCCCGTTTTGGAGAGGATATCTCTATGCCTACGGGCTCAAAGCATGGTTCCCACTTTCCAGAGGAGACTGAGGCTCAGACAGGGAGATTCAGCTGCTCCCCAAACACGCAGGGGCAGCGTCAGGACTTGAACCCAGGCCTGCCTGGCCCCCCGCCGCGAATGTATTTCTACTGTAAATTGTATCCAATTCTATTCCACTTTAAAATTATACAAAATTTTCTAGTATTAACATGATTACATTTAATTGAGTAAAAGGCCTCTCTTTTATTTTAATCAAGTTTAAATTGACCCAAGAAACTTGAACATTGATATTCTTTTCAAGAGATTGTTAAAAACGAGAAAAAGAAAAAGGAAAAAAGATCCTAGAAATAAGGTGCTGTGTGGGGAAAGAGACTAGTTTCTTTTGTAGTTATTTAATAGTAAAATTATAAGTAGTTTTAAAAATTCGGTTTAAAATTATACTGAAACCCAACATGTGTTGTGTGTGCAGGAATCAAGGGGGAAAATTTTAATACCTCTTTCAAAAAAGCCAACAATGAAATCAACTTTAGGTCAAGTTTTCATTACAAAAATAACTGATAATCTTTACTGAGATCCTTTATTAAGCTGGAAAGAATTATCTAAAAGGGCAATGAAAGTTATACAGATTTTTCTTACTCAATGGAATACAACAATAAAGTATCTCTTCATGACTAATTTTTCAACCTATAGACTTAAATCATGCATCGAGTTTGACGCATAATGCATTGAGTTTTAGTTTATCTGAGTTAGCCACGAGAATATTAAAACTAATGAAGAAACAAACATTTCAAAACCTAAATCTACATGCTAGACTGGAAAATAACATGTCATAATTGATTTTTTGGAGT